TTTACCTCCTCCAAACCCCAATGCCTGAGCCCTGCTTCTAATCCTTCATGACTAGACAATTGGTGGACTCTAATAAAGGTCTAGGTGTTTAGACAGGAGGATTATAATCATCTCAGGTTACTTTATATAGTGCAACAAAGGTTACAGCTTTGTCTTGTAAAGAAAATAATGGAAGTTAAACACAATTTTACTTTCTAACCCTACAATTATAGACAAAATTTTCTAAGGGTTGGAGCAATTGCCCTAGTGTCCTTTACCTCTGTGCTTACTGTGTCACATTCAGAAACCCAGTTTTATGTACATTCTAGACAAATTTATGTACAGCTTTAAAAGTACAGCTTTTTTCCCTTAAAAAAAAATTAGATAAAATGACACCTTTTCATTTTCTACAAATAAAGGCTGAGGAATTACCTCAGATACAGCCATGATACAATACTCTGAAACATTACTCCAATTATATTATGAACACTGTAATTTAAGGTACAGCATTCAAACTATTGTAAAAGATAAAATTGTTTTTAATTTATTTATTTTCTTCAGATATGCTGAGAATGAAGGAAGGAAAGAAAGAAGGAAATAACCAATACGAAATCTCATTTTAAAAACAGGATGACTTCCTGTAATAAATGAGAAGGAAGTGAAAAAAGGTGAGGTACCTATAGGTACCTATAGGTGAGGTACCTTGATGGTTTTTCAAGGGCTGAAGAAACTTTATGTAACATTGTTTTGGAACTAAATCCATTAGGATTTGATCTTGGAACTCAGAGTCCATCCATCATGGTAGTAGTGATTAAAAAAAAGAAAGAAAACGTCATTACCACCACTAAGTAACAGATGTATATAATACCTCTTACAAAAGCATTAAAGGTGACAAGAAAAATACTTGAAAGAGGGGCCTTATCCTTGTAAAGATTTCAGGTCATGTGTTCTTGTAAGCATCCTTAAATTGTCTCAAGCTCCTCTGTTTCAAGAACATTGTAGACAAGATCTTCATAACCATTCCCGTCTGCAGCAGCCTCATTTTTCTTCATTCACAATAAAGTGGTAGAGCTACACTACTGTCCATTTTCTGCCCTTGATTCCCTACTATCTAGATTTCCTTTCGATTCAGCACTGCTAGGGGTCTCAAAATGATCTCACACAGTCAACCCTTTAGCAATGTTACGTGTTAAGACTCATAGTCTTATTATAACAGTGTTTCTCTTCAGTTGTTTTTCCTCTCTAGATGATGAGTAAATCCAGGTCCACCGTGTGGTTCACACACACACACGGACCAGTGAATTACTGAAATCCAATGTAGTACAACATATATAGTTAGATGTAGTACAACATTGCTCCTTGGGATTTCTGGCTCATGGAGTCAGCTACGCAACACAATTTAATATTCAGAAGTGATGCAGCTCAACAGGAACTCAGAGTGACTGGAAGGTGTATAAAGTAAAGAGAAAGCCATTGGTGGCAGCTGGAAATAGAACTTGGCAACCTAGAGCAAAATTTTCTTGTCCACATTAACTCAATGAGCAGCAAGCAGTCACAAGCATATCTTATCTCATTCGCCAAAAATACCTCTGGAATTACATCCACACAGATAGGATTCATTTCAACATAAATTAATATAATATAAAGAGCTTTCAGGAAAATCGTCCTCACCGTAATTAACATTTGTTCTAAAAACACCTTATAATTCTGGTACTTCATGTACCTAGGCTAGGAGTGAGGATGAAAAAGTCTTCCCATATCACTAATGTTTGAAATTCCAAAGAAGTTGCTATATTATGCCAAAATAACCCTACAAACTTTTAATAGTTTTATGAAAAAAAAAATTAGAGATTGATATACCCACAAACTTCCGATTAAAAAGCTACAGTTTAAGTTCTTCCTTTTCCTAATTTAGACAAGGAATCTTAATTTACTGTATTCCAACAGGGGCCAGTAGGACTGTCCCCTTCTGAAATGGTCTTTAATCTCAGTTGTGCCTCTCAGGTTGGTTTTGACAACAAATTCCATCTTTCTGAAAATGTCCCAGTATTCTTGCTTTTATTGTAGAGTGCAGAACTAATGAGATATTAACAAATTACATTTTCATCCTACTTACATAGCTGGGAAGGCTGAAAGAGTGCTCTTAACTCTCAAAACATTCAATTCCTAAATTCAGTCACTCAAACTATCCAAAATGTATAAACTTGCAGGCTAAAATTATGTACCTTGATCCAAACTGAACCATAAGAACATCTACAACTTTGGTCTTTATAAAAAGATCCACGAACCTGATTTCTGACATTCAGATTTAAATGAATAAAACAGAAAACAACAAAAAAAAAGTTACTAGACAAGAAAAGTTATCCCTTCCAAATATGTCATCTGTACCTTTAAAAATTTTCCTACGATAATTTTCCAGTTGTGCTATGGTTGTCTTTAGAAGAGCAGAAAGTCTTCCACAAGTGTCACACAATTATTAGGTCAGATCAAGGATTATGGACTGTCCAACAGTTGCCATAAAGCCTTTCTTCCCACTAGCATATTTGATAAAGACACAATTATGTGTAAACATTATCAGGATATATCATAAGATGATCTAATCATCACAGATTTGTTATTTATGAACTTATAAAGTCTTAAATAATCCTTCAGAACCTCTCTTTTCTTTACAGGGTGTTACTGGGGTAAACAAATACATCACATAGCAAAAATATTTAAGCTAGGAAACTTACGTAATACTGCACTATTTAAGCACAACTCTTACTCTCAGTTTTGAGGACTTCTACAATCTCATTACAAACCTCAGGGTGTTTGATGTGCTGCATGAATTTTCTATGTTATTATTTGAAATTTAAGTAAAATATATGCTGTCATTCTTGGCAACTTGAATGCATCAGTCAATGTAACTTGAACATACCAGAAAAACTCAAATCAAAAAGGGAAAGACACATCTTTGAATGTTTTTATGCATCACTGTGGGAAATAACTCATGCATTAGCATTTATGCAGAATTACTACTACATTCAACAAAATATTTCCAGTTCAGTATTATTTTCATTATATACGCTTTATCTTTTAAATGAGCTTTTAGAATATGGTTTCCTGAGATTTATATATTTTCACTGGCAAATATGACTGTTAGCTTTTAAGTTTGTCCTTCTTCACTGGTCACTGGCAGAAATAGCTAAGTTCTCTGATATGAAAATACTGACAAGCTGACAAATACATTAGCAATCACCACAGTTTCCAAATGTAAGTTGGTGGTAAAGACAAACTTATTTACCATATTAATTAAATGGTCTATTTAACATGGAATATCAATTCTCTAATCACATCTCATTTGAGCTTCTTATTTCAATTAACAACCCTAAAGTCTACTAGAGATCCTACTGTTCTAGGATCATTAAGAACATTTTCATTATCTGTCAAATGAGGGAGTAAAAGGCAGAAACTGCAAGTACTCTCAGGAGTAGGCCTCTACCCTACTTAGGGGATGATTAGAGAGTAAGCAGCAGTAGTTCTCATTAGTTGCTTAGCAATAAAATGTCCTTCTATGAAACAAGAAATGAACAAAGCAACAGAGGTGTTGCCATGCAAATGAGTAAATGGATAGCCTTTCATCCAGCCAAGGATCATCTGTCCTCCCGTACATCTAATTAATCTAGATTCAGACACCAGTGGGTATGTCACATATAGGAGGAGGGAAATTAAGAATCCACTATATATAGCCTCACTGAAGTAGCAAAGACAACCTATTGCTCAAGTTTACATACGCATTGTTATTTCTCATTATGTATCTATATAACCAACAGAAACATATGGAAAATGGTTTTAATTCAAGTCAGATTAACATTGCCATTTTTACTGTTTAACCTTACCTTTTATATCCACATTGTTACAATTAAATTGTTAATGACTTTTCAGTATGTATAGAAAGCACAAGAAAACAGTACGGGAATTTAATAAGAACTATTTTGTCTCACAGTACTGGTTTACACCCATGGTGAATAACTGGTTGAGAATTAGAACTAGCTTTTTTAGCATCTGGCCTTAAGGAACGTAATATGCATTTACAGCAAATTAAAACAAAGTTATACTAAAGTATTTTGACATACTACACTTGCAGAATTCAATCCTCAGATTAGCCACATTCTTAAGGTCCATTAAGACTTAGATAACTAATCTATAAATTTAAAATATGAATGATATTCTTGTATGAGATGAGTATTTAATCAATATCAAAGTTTCCCAAATAAAGGATTACAAAAACAGATAAGCACAAACAAGGTCACAAACTCAACAGAAATACAGCTGTTTCATATTAGTAATGTGAGCCCCAAAAAAGCAGAGTTCTTAACTAGAAAATTTTAGTTACTGTTGCCTTCATGTTCAAGCCCTGATTTCAGGTTGCAATTACTTTGGCCACAGATCCAGTTTAATAGGTTCTCTCTTCCTTAATTTCCCCATCACTTATTTAAAATGTTTCCTTGTTTTGGGGGTGGTGGTTTTGGGTTTGGGGTCCTCCCCCCCATTCACCAGGTCATTTTATATGTACAGTTTTATCTTATTACACAAATAGAAGAATTGAGGGAGAGAGAGGAAGAGAGACTGAAACCCTCATATGAAGAAGAAAACATCAGGAGAGGCAGAGGGAGCACTTAAACTTGATATGCAGTGAAGATATCATAAAATGGAAGCAAAGGCTAGATTGTCTTTCTTTCCCCAGCTCTCACATCTGACAAAAATACAATTCTGTTTGCAGGTTCTACAGAGTTTTTTTTTGAACAAAGACCTGAAAGATTCCCAAACTCCATGGACTATTTTCACAGAATCTGATCACCTGTCAGTACACATTTGAAAGCTACTTAAGAGAACTATACAGATTTATAATTTAAAAAAATCTATAATAAAAATCATATATTGAATTATGCTTTGATTAGCTCATCCAAATTGTTATTCACATTAAAATGAAGGTGTTGTTCCAAAGCCATTACCAATTCATAATTCAGTATTAAACTTACCTATATACTCACAAACGAAGACTACAAAAAAAGGAGTAACAAGATCATTTATGCCCTGAACATATCCGCTGGCTGGATGACGTATAGCCCAGATAAATAAAATTCGTTCAAAGATCTGAAAAAGAGTTAAAGAAACTATCAGGCATTTTTATCAAGCAACGAGCACATTTTACATAAGGCATTTGAAAAGCATTACAAGGATAAATTTAATATCATACACATTGCTAGTATAAAAAAATGCATACAGAAGCCTAAATGAACACTGGTATCCATAATTAACTGCCAATGTTAATCAAGTTTCTCAGCTATTTAAAAGAAAGCATTTTCAGGGTATTAGCATACGTTAAAACCAACTGTGTCTATAATTCAATTACACTAGCTACAACAAAGTAGCACGTTATCCACTGGAGGTTTTCCAATATGATAAAATTCCTCTTTCCTCAAGAGAGAGGAAGATTAAATGATCTTTCCATGACCCTATACCTCTTTCAAAGAAATATTTTATCAACATAGTATGTATTTCTTCCTAGATAACAGAGGAAAGGGCTTTATATAGCCTTGATTTTCATAGCATGCAAAAAAGAAGAAAAAAAAAAAACCTTAATAGTTAAGTTTGCCTAATAGTGCAGTGTGAGGTCTTAGACTTCAGAAGCATGTATGGTTAATAAAATATCTGAAAACCAGGAAACGTAGAGATAAGGTAACCTCCTCCCATATCACGTAACCATATAAACCTTTCTTCCCCGAACCCTTTGAACAGTACCTTGCTTAGGATCTGCAAAAACTCCTGAGACCACAACCTATTCAATCTGAGTATGGGAAGCACGGCATGAGAAAAATACAGGGCAGGGAAATCACAGAACTTATCACCAACACAATTTGAGCCTGTGATACATTATATTTATTCATAACTATTTATTTCTGAAAGTGCTTTATGCCTTTAGAAGGCTACAACTGAAAGTGAAAGGTGTTACGTGGCTTGCCCTAGTCACTACTTACTCGATCAGGTATAACCTTTTGAAGGAAAAGAAAGCCTGCTCCTTCTCTGGCAGGTCTGCCCAGGAAGCTGCCAGAGTGCAGGGGCAGGCAAGCAGAACAGAGAAAGGAGAGCTCACCAGACTAAAGGACTATGAGGCTCTTAAGGGCAGGCCTCAGAAGTAATAAACAGAGAGAGCCTTTGCAAAGGCCTCAAGGAGATGCATAGAACTTGCTTGCAACCCCAAAAGTCAGTGAAGGCTCAGGCTTCAATCAAGGCTGGAAGAGACCATCCCTAAAAAGATATGATAGGGAGAAGACGTTTAGTTTAATTTATGAAGCCTGGTTTACTTCTATTCGATTTCAAGTTTTCATTAGTTTAAGAAGTTACTGATTCTAATTTAAATAAAAACTTATTCTTTAGTTTAAAAGCCCTTTTATAGTCTTCTTCAGGTAAGAAACGTTCTGGGCAGATATGACTCAAATCTGGGCGCCTGAGTGTCCCATCACAGGCTTGCATGTGAGCTAGCTGCAAGCTGGAACACATCTGCACTTTTCACCTCTAAGACAAATCCCAAATACCAATATCTATTCTCCAGCAGAGTTTCCTTGGAGGATCTTTTTTCCTTAATCTTCAAGTTTAATATTTCCCTGTCTTGCACAAGAGCAGACTGCTGAAAATGCACGGAGCAACAGAGAAAGGGAACGACAACAGAGATGCAAAGCTTTGGTAGGCATTGAAATACAGGCCTTCACGCAGCTCGTCTCTGGTTCAGTACAGCTACATTTGAAATAACTGTTTTTAAACAGTCTCATCTACATTGAGAATTGTGTTGGGCACCATACAGCTGAAGAAACAAAGTGGCAGGTGACATTAAGATTCAGTTAACTAGGTTTTGCCCAGGGTAATTTCACTTTTGAGGCAAGGATTAGGCAGCACAGGAGATGCTAATTTAGTACATTCTCCAAAGAAGTCTCCTGCTCCCATGAGCCAGCGTTTCTTATTTCTTCAGCTATAAATTCTATTTGATATTAGAACTGTCATCTAGTATACCTTTTTTCATGGAGTACACTAAACAGAAAAAACACCAAGCTCTACCGATCAAGGCCAGTGGGACCTCATTGTCTAGCAACTACCATAATAAAGACCCTAAGTTCTGCCTTTCTTGTATAAGTTCACAGCTTGTTTTTTAACGTAATCATAACTTTAAAAAAAATGAGTTGTTTATGCCAAAACTTTTACCATTATTGCAAAACTGCAAATCTGTCTAGGTTAGTTAAGTATTCTTCTCGCTTCTGTCAGCTGCTACTCTTAGTTTGAGTAATACTAGTTTTTTCGGTATTACTAGTGTTGTCATTCTGTGTTTAGCTTCACACAAAGTACATGTGTTTAACACGCTGCAAGTGCAAATAAGTGTCTTTAAAACAAATGTCAGGTATACATGATTAAAAAAGCTACATAGCAATTGCTGAATGCAGCAAGAGTGTTAGGCACTACACTAAAAAACTTGTGTAATGGGTTTATGAAAAATGGGTAGTGCATGAAATAAAAATATGCATATATTGACAAATGAAAAGAATTGGTACAATGAATTACAGCTATCAAAATATCCTTTTAAAAATGATTTTTAAAAATAGTCCTCTTCATGAGGGCATCCTGTCTCAAGTCAAATTTGCACTGCCAACTTTTCCTTTCCTCAGAAACTGATGATATTCATAATTTGCACTAAAAAATGAAATGTCTAACGATTTCAAAGCATTTTGAAAATCTAAGTGTGAAAACTAAGGTGTGTTTTTTTTGTTTTTTGGGGTTTTTTTTTGAGTGGCAAGGATCACTCAGTAATTAGCATACCAAATTTAATATATCCAAATGTATCTAACCAGAAATTCAACAAATTTGCACTGAAACAGCATTTTCAATTTCCTACCCATTTTCATAAAGTTTAATTTACTGATACATATCAAAAAAATAAACACTGAATACCTGAAAGGCAGACTGATTTAAGATTCTATACAGCACTCAACACTGTATTCAAATAGTACTCATTAAAAGGTCACTTTCCCAAAAGGTTTCTATCTTGATTTCTAAACTACTAACAGAAACTAGAATCATTTTTCTGATATGAACCGCTGTATCTCATGAGATGTGATTATCAATGAATTATTCTGTTTAATTCAACCCTCATTCACGATAACAATAAGAACTATATCCATATACATAAAAGGAAGAATTAATGAGTTTAAATATGGATTTTGAATACTTGTAGGTTTTGCCATCTCAAGGGAACTCCAAAATCCCCAAAGCTTTCATAACGAAGGTTTCTGAGAATTTGCTTTTTGTTTCTCTTTTATTACTAACAAAAAAAAAAAAAAAAAAGAGGTGGGGATAATTTTAACCTATTTTTCAATCAGGTGTAGTTTCCTTGAAATCACTTCTCTCATCTAATCCAAACATATATGTTAAATACTACCCATTTGGACAGAACTCAATTAAAGACAAAATACAAACTGATAATAAATTACAGACTACCCCAAGCTGACCAATCACAGTTATTTAACCTACATTTACAGTTTTATAATAAGATATTTATAATAGATAACTTCAACAGACTTGACTGAACTAGATATGGGAAGACCGCCAACATCTCTCCCATTCTCTTCAGGGGCCAGCATTTATTCTTTTTTCAGGATCTACACAATTCCCACAACAAATAAATACTTAAAATTTACTTGAAAAGAAACATATAACAATGAGTTATTTCCACAGGGTCAAATTCAAAGCAACTCTTCCTGAACTGATTTTATTCCTGAAAATTAAATTCCAAAAACAGATAAGAAAATAGTGTGGAAAGCCTTTTGGGAGCAGAGAAAAACACCATCAAGAACAGGCACAGAAGTCCTGTAACATCTGAAATAGAAACATTTGGAAACTGAGGTCAAAAAAATATTGTTAGATTCAAAAACCTATTATGTTTTCTGATCTCTCAACTAGCATTTATTTCCAGTTCTGTCACCTACAATCTCTTCACTTCTTTCTACATGCTTTCTAGTAGCCACAGGCTACTACTACTCCAGTATCATCATTCTAAATTTCTAAAGTACTAAAAATTAGCAAGTACAAAACCTACCACATTGTCCACAATCTTGCACATGCCACCTTTTGAAACCTGGTCTGGACTCACTCTAAATTTCCTTTGGCTTCTTTAGCTCTTTCCATCTCTCTCTAGAAAAAGGAGAATGACCCTTGGTCACCTAGGACCAGCAACACGTTCCCTTTCCCTAGAAAGGCAAGGGCCCTGAGCACAACAGAGTCAGGCTTCTGTGGAGCCACTAGGAGCACGGCAATCCTGTGAGGATAAGGGATTAGGTCATGCTAGGGTAGGGGATCAAAAACCCACAGAGGGAGAGGAAGCAGCATGGGAGAAGTTGGATGTTATGATCCTTCTAGTATAAGATCTTCATAAGACGTTGTGAAGCAAGATCCTATCTTTGCTCTCCAGCAAGATCAGACACAGAGAAAGGGAGAGACAGATGCAGGTCCACACACACAGTACTCCAAACTTCTGGACAGGCAATTAGCTGAGTATGAATGTCATCATAACACATGAAGGTACTGAGATATTTTGAAGTGCAGGATACTTACGGATCAGTAAGAACGAAATCATATCCCTATCACTTCTAACTTACGTAATTCCTAGATTTTGCTTTATCCCATCAACTGCTGCTATATACCATTTTCACATTCTTCTGCACCTCAAGTCTACCCACTCCCAACTAACAGAGTGCTATTAAAATACACTTTCCTCTTTTTCCACAGAGTCACAGAATAGTTGAGGTTGGAAGGAAGGAACCTCTGGAGATCATCTGGTCCAGCCCCCTGCTGTAACATCTCATTTCTTCAAGCTTTCTTCCATTTTTCCTTCCCACTAATTAATCAAAGCAGGAAAAGAAAAGGAGTTGGAACAGGCAAGATAGATGGGATAGGAGATGGACAGGAGATTTGCTGGGTGGTTTTTTGTTTGTTTGCTTTTTAACACAGCAGAAACATTCTACTTGTACTATGCCTTGATCCCACCTGATGAGATGTATATCCATCTACTTACACCTCAGCTGCCTACCTACTGTGGGACCTGAGGATTCTATGCCCCAAAACATTCGTACTCCATTCTCCCCTTTTCCCATCTCTTTTCAGGAGTTGGGAGAAAGATCAGAACTTCTAGAAACGGCTAAATTACTTATTCTTCAAACACTGCCAAGCAGAAAGATAAGGCTATTATTTTGCTCAGTTTTATTAAGTATTCGAGCTCAGAAAACATAAGCACAATCAGCAAAGCAGGGATATCAGGCTGCATGCCATTTCCAATAAATGAAGTTAAAGGAGCTTAATACATGAAATTGAATCATCTTCCAGCTTTAGTAATTTTATGTTACTTGTGGAAAATTATCACAATTTTCTACAAAGCGTGGATTTCAAATATGTGATGTCATTTTAAGAGTGAAGCACACATACGCTTCTTTTAAGACATACATAACCATTTAAATATTAAAAAAAGCATACCTCTGGACAAGTTTAACAAATGACTAGAAATAAATGCAACCTCAGTTTTATTTAAAAAAAAAAAAAAAGGCAAAGGAGACCTCAATAACATACATTTAAATGAATATGCTACTTGAGCAATGCCAAAAGATAATAAAAGGAAAAAAGCTTTGAATAATTTCATGTGTTTAATGAGCACATAAAATCAACTGAAATTGCATTCCAGACTCAATCTTTACTGAATAATACTAGCTATTGAAGTTCTATTGACATATAGAATTCTACTTCATAGTAAGTTACCTGTATAGTTACTGACATATAGTATTTCCTGTTTATTTTAATTACTCTGAAGCAATAACAAGAAAAGCATTTTACTCTGGCAGGGTCTCCTAATGAAGTTGACTGTCAGCAGTTTCATTAAACCAGCCTATTTCCAGATACAACTCAGCTATAAGAATCCCCTCTCGACTGTGACTGCTAATAAAAATAGTGTCAGAATAACTTTTTTGCATTGAAATACTCTCAAAATTCACATGTAAATTCTTTACCCCTAAGTCAACCATTCAACCAAAAGGGGACTACAATCATGCTTTAAATCAAATTCCTTCCAACACCCTTTTAAAATATTATAGCATGCTGTCCCACCATACACACTGAGTATTTAGCAAAAACGGTCATCTCAGTGTTGGAAAAGCTGAGCCATATTTTCAGTAATTATCAGTATAAAATTAGAAATGTTAGCATAAATGTATTATTAAATAACCCTGGTAAATAACTGTTGTGCTCCTTCCATCTACGGTCAAGATTTGCATCTAGGCACTTGCTACATTTTCCACAGACTTAATAAAAATATTAGTATCTCCTAAGAGCAGTCAGCCATACAAAAACATCTTATCTTATGCATACTTAAATAGACAGAAAACAAAACTAGTCATAACTCTTACAGGTTTCCATTCCTATCTGAAATCAAGATACTAATGTTACCCAGTGGAGGATGGACTCAAGTCACAGAAGCAAAGTACATCTTACATCTCATTCTTCTAGTAGGTAACTAAGTAACACATTACTTCTCCAAAGACTTTCTTTAGAGGTTTTTTGTTTTGTTTTGGTTTGGTTTTTTTTTTTTATAAACTTTTTACTTGAATTCTCAACCAATTAATTTGGTTAAAAGAAAGGCCATTCAGCATATACTGCAGAAAGAGATGTTTACCTGAAATTTATATTTCAGAGTTGTTTTAAACATTCTCAACTAATTTAGAAATAAATGTAGTGCTTAACAGTCATTCTTACAGAAATGCTTCTTATCATTATTCTTATCTCCCTCTTCATAAACTGAAGAATAAGTGGAAGCTAGTTCTTCATCTGTTTTCTCACATCGTCTAATTAACTACTGCAAGATAATCTGTCTCACTCTATAATGACAGTAACACAAACTACCCGGAAACACATTTGAAGGTCTAACTGGAAGCATTAAGAAGTAGAAGAAAATGAAGGAAAAAACATTTTGAAAGACTACTCACACCATCTGTATCATTTATGACATATATGCTCTAAAAAGGAGAGAGGGGGAAAAAAAAACCACCTTCTGTCATCCAGTCACCAGCTGTATTTCAGGCTTTGAGAGTCTACACATACTGGAACACGAATTCAGTTTTCTGCAAAGCGTTAACAATGCAGAAGATCCCTTTGGCTCATAAATAAAGAAGGAAGCACACGTTACTTAGTTCAGCTTCCTCTTCAAGTAGTTCTTTGGTACTTGGTGACTGTCTTGTCCCTCAGCTATCCTTGTGCACCTATCATTAAGTTTATTTCACCTTTTGGGTGCATTTCATGCAAGCATTCACATATACTATTCCTCATTTAGCTGCCATTAGACTATAATTGAATTGTCAGGTTGTTGTAATTAGTACCCATACCACCATACCAAAACTACTGCCTGGTTTTTGCTATTACTACCTGAAAATAGATTAAAATGCCTTTCTGACTGACATCAGTCAGAACATCTTTTAAGTAAACACTAGTCCCATCTACCTCTCTGTTATCAGTCAAGGCTTGATTTTTCTTGTCCATCCCTACAGTCTCACTGCTATTCCAAACTTGCTTTCCTTATCAATCACATGAGATGTCACAACTATTTACTCTCTACCTTTTCAGCTCCTTCATTCCTTCAAAAATACAACTTTCCAGTTTTCTTCTTGATTGCACTCTACTTGTGTTCCTCTTCTGGCTTCTTGTTGCTTGCAAGTATGTACTTGCACTCTTATTGCTGTCTCAATTTGATGCACATGGTTATTTTTAATATACATATCTGTGTATTTCAAAATACCTCTGATAATCTAGAAATAATTTTTAAATGGATTTGTTATATTATGAAAATTTATTTTGAAGAAACTGCAAAAATGCCAGTACAGATGAAGTCACTTGGCAAAAGCTTTTTTAATAGCAACTATTACTGATAAAATCAATTATCTAAAGGAATTGTTTCATATATATTTTGTAATTCTTACATTTGTAATATAATGTGATGTTATTAGTAACTTAGGCAATAAAGATGAGTGTATTTGAATTAGAAATATTACATTATAAACTAAAAACAAAAATTGGTAGTAAAGACCATAAAATACATTTTTAATTTAGATTTACAACACTGATCTATGAAAGTACTACATTTTTATACTGTGCTGATTTCCTAACCAGTTTATATTTTACATTTTATATATCTAATTTCTTTAAAAGCACATTAGTTCATATCTCATTAGAATAATATTAATCCATCAGTCATTTCTATCTTTTCTTAAAATCTTTGAACAGCAAGTTATCTTTGAGACGAAAAGTCTAGTCAATAAGTTTTAGTTTCCAGCGCTGTTTTTCACATTTGTATGCTCTTGCTGTCGTTTTTCATAATTGAAATCTTATTTGTATTTCTAAAAGACATCAATATGCTGCATTTGACATTAACAGATAAGTTATGATTCTGAATAGTTGAATTATCTTAACATTTACTTCACTGAAAAAGTTCCCTGAAATAGCACTGGACACCTTTAATAATGTTAAGGCAATAAGGCTCACAGCCACAGGACACATTGTATGAGGCAGCATTTCATGTCTTCTGACCTGCATCCTGATAATTTCATAAGGCTCACTACTCACCTTTTTCACTCAAATAATGATTTCACAGACCTTTAACAATGTCTTCCTCTCACCTCTCCTTCCTCTCAAGTCTCTCACTTTTTTCTTTACTGGAAAACGTGAATCTGTTTAACCGTTCCTTGAATCAAAGCCAAGCCATACCTTTGCTTGTCTTCATAACCCTCATTTGTACACCTTTTTCTAATTTTAGTTTATCCTTTGGAGACTGAGAATCCACAACAGTACACAGTATTCAAAATGCAGATGCACAGGAGATTTGTGACACAGCTTAACTATGTTTTCTGATTTATTCTCTATTGCAACTTAATCATTTTAATACTGTTTGCTTTCTGATTGCTATTGAGCAAGCCAGTATTCTCTGTTCAAGAGCTCTCCTCTGAACAATAATAGCTAACGCAGCAGTGCCCATCCCTGTATTAGCTCAGTTAGGGCTTTCTTTCCTCTGTTACTCATATCACTCCATATCTATCTGTACTGAATTTCTTCTGAAAGCTTGTCACCCAGACCCTGAGTTTTACAAACTCCTCCTGTGACTATTCACCAGCAACCTTAAGTTGGAATGACCCAAATAACTTGGTACAGTGAGTGAATTTTGTCCCTTCACAACTCAACCCATTTCCAAATCATTTACAATGATGCTGAACAGCAAGACCCCAAAAGAAGTTCCTGTGGAATTCCATTACAGTCCAAAAACACATATTCTAATTCAATTAATAAATTTAACACTTGTAATTAATCGTTGCAACTTTATTATGACAGTGTCAGAACTTAAATACTGTATTCATTACATAAAAACATACAAAGAAGCTTTAATAGGGGAGTGTGACAAGAGAATTAAGATGAAAAGCAAAATCAAATAAGGAACACAAACCAATCATGCTATATACACACACACAATTAAAAAAAGAACTTCTAAGTGGAATATCATATGATAAGAACTTCTAGACCTTGAATGATTTTGACAAATACATAGCACCATGGGAACTAAGCTCTAGAGTACTTCAGAATACATTATTAATAAAATATATAAAAAGTAAAAAAGAAGAGAGATTCAAAGGCACAACACGAGAAGAAACTGACAGATTCAATGCAGAAGATTAATGAGATGTCTCTCTTGTTCCTACTCATGTCTTCATTGTTATTCTTGGCCTGTACTTATATATTCTCATTTTCTGGTCTTTTTTTAGACTAGTTCTCAATCTGAAACAGCAACTGTTGTCTAATTAATTAGTAACCAACACTGTGATACCAGACGAATTATTAAAATGAGTTATCTAAAAACCATTTAGATATCATTCTTACCTCTGTTACTTTGGGCTGAAGTCTTAAAACTTCAGGACTCATGCGTGGGATATCTATATGAATCTAATTAAACAGAAAGAAGAATACTGTAAAAGGAACCAACAGCACACTTTTTAAACAAAGCAAGAGTTGAAACATTCCTATGGTCTTACAGGTTCATGGTTATAATCCCACTGCTTAGAAAACCCTACTACAGGTCTTAAATGGAAAGCACTAGTACGGCAGCGTGCATGCCATGACAAAAATCTGACATTAAGACTTTAAAATACTTGATCTTCTGTATTTTGAATTTCAGACCAAAATATTTAATATTTAATATTTCATTACAGATTTAATTAATTTTGCTCCTAAAAGGGAGGAAAATAATTGGTTAGTTAACTGCCTATTGAAAGCAAAGCCGACTGCCTTTCAAGTGAGATTAAAGAAATAAGAGAGAAACAATAGGAAACTTTAACAGAGGGTGCGGGGAAGTTGAAGTTCTTTCACAGATTTCATGTAGGTAAAAGTCATTTCAATAAGTGTTGTACCTGTCTATAGGTATCTTGGTGATTTTCATCATTTCTGGAATCATAGTATTGTTCAACAAACGCAAAGTATTCTTTCCGTTTTCTTTGCAAAGTGCTTTCTCTTCGGTCCACATTTGCAGGAAGATAACCCTGAAAAATAGTTAAATGAAAAAGATACTACTCTGCCTTACAAGACGTACAGTTAGCATTTGGCTATATGCGACAGAAGAGCTAATGAACTGATGCAGTACAATGCAGTCCTACATGGATCTAAGTAATCCTTTAGTGAATCGGTTTTTACAGATACAAAATTCAAATACCAACACCTTACTAAAAATCAACATTTTTTTTTAAGAATAGATTTAAGTGTATTTTTCGTCTTTAAAAAGCAATTTCTGATCAAAAATACTATGACGTACTATGAAAAAAATCCTCAAAATAAATAAGTACAGAAAACTATAATACTGTAAGCGTTCATTAATTTCTAGTATCCCATATGGTCCTTCTATGAGGTATATCTTTTGATTCTAAACAAAATGCATTTTAGCTCAGTTGCTTTAAAATAGGAATGATATACATTAGAATAGGTACTTTGGTTTAAATTATGGTTAAAATCATAATGCAATGGAGTATTTCCTCAAAAGTTTCAAAAACATTCTAGCTATTCTATTTCACTGTTTCAGAAGAGAAAAAAATTTCAAATTTTCATTTTACCTCAACTGATTATTACAGGGTACATCATAGAAAAAGGCTCAGTGGAATCAGTGATTGAGTTTTTAAACGCAATAGTAGCTATACGTCTCAAAAACAAATTATAAATATTAGATTTTTCCCACTAGGTTTAGGAATGTTAAGGAAGTCAAACATCAGATAGGATTATGCACTGTTCTTTAAATATAAAATGCATCTAATTTGTTCTTCAGAATCGCATCCAAACATATCAGAAAATCCCATTCTTCCACAAAAATCCATTCTCATTTTCTTCCTTTGTCCAGTATGATCCCTATTTCTGGGATCTCAGGCTATTTTCTATTTAGAAACAACAAGCTCAGGTTACCATTTCACCATTTTATGAAAGTAAGCATCATGAATGTTACCAAATGTTCAGCTATTACATAAAGCACTACATATTACAAATATTATATTTTTTAAACACTATTATTCATGTAACTGGCTACTGAAAACTTTCCTGAATATTCAGGAACAGTTAATGCTTTCTTGTAAGCAGGTTCATTTCAAGCAATCATCACCAATATCTCATAACATCACAAAAAATACAGTTATTTCATATCAAATTATATTTGTAATTATATATGTAATATATTTCATATATTTACATATATGAAGAGCTTGAAAAATTATTTAGAATTAACATTCTAAACATAGACAGCTTTAAAAACAGATCTGGCCATCCAGAAGACAATATAAAAAAATTTAAGAATCACATCATTCACTATTCAGAACAAATTAAAACATTTCTTGTCAGTATTATAAAAGCCTTCCTTCCACAATAACAGCTACTGTCATAACTAATGGGAAATAATGTAATAGAGAAGGTAAATTTAAATTAAATTAAATTTAAAAATCCTCCTAATATCATAAACTTTGATAGTAGAAGTGCAGTACGTATCTCCACTTACACAATGAGCCATAGGCAGTGCAAGTAACTAATAATGAGCTATGCATTTTATTACCAAAGCAACTTGCTTGTTCAGTCCTAAACACATTGGAAGCAAAAATGCTAGTTATAATTGTTAACATGTCTGCTTCATTTCATGAGAAATGATCAGTACTTTGGATTTTTGAGGGCGAAGATAGGGGTAAATCTAAGATTAAAATCTCTTAGTTGACGCAACAAATTTAAATATATTAAGAATAAATACAGTAGTTCCATTACTTTCCCGCTGCAGTCCAACAGAATCCCCCATTTCTTTAACTTCTGCTTTGCTCTACAAATGCTTAACGTTTGGGGGGAAAAAAAATAAAATCACCATAGGAAAACATCAACAGCCTTTTTATAAGGATCTCTACATCAAAATCATTTTTAAAATCCTTGTACATTTTAATTTCCTCCACACTTTAAGAAACCATCAAAACAAGTACAAACTGAATTACAGTTCAGATATCTTTAAAACGTACTTGTTTCGTCAAGACCATTTCTTTTAAGATGTACTGACTTGCATCTGGTCTCAGGTATTTTAAATTGCATTAGCTTAACTTCTGCCTAAATATACAGTCTGACATTTAATACCCTTAGTGTTTTGTAAATATTGTTAAAAAAAGTTAAATATTGAATTCTACCCCCCTATTTATTGTCAATCATTGGATTTTTTTCTGCAGGATATGTTAGTCCCATTAGAAAACAATTCATTTGTGAGATCAGATGTGATTGTCCCAACGATGCCAACACTTCTCAGTAATAGTTTCTTTTGCCATTACTCAGGTTCAGAGATTGAAGTAATCTTTCAGTTGGACATGTCTTGTTTCCTGTTCACTTTACAGATAAGATTTTACTTTAAAAAGTTGGAAGGGCTTGCAACATATCATCCGGGCATGAACTGGTGTAGAGTTTAATCCGTTTATTCATTAATTTCCCTTCAAAGGCTTTGGCAACCATGTATTTAGTTTTGTTATTCAAAAGAGAACTGAGCCTGAATAGTTCTGCTTACTTTTAGGTATAGAATGCCTAGCTTTGTTATGTTTTAGGAATAAATGATATATTTTTATAAATTGTTACAAGTAGACTTGATAGTAGCAGCAGTCTCTCAGCATCATATTGATTTTCAGTTGCTTTCACTTTGGAAAAACTGCTTTGATCCAACACATATGTTAATACTATTAAAATTTTGACTATGTAATAGCTCTTTCAACTGATCAATTTTTAAAACTGTATTTTAAAAATTTCATCTTCAATGCTGCTTTAATAAATCGAACAATCACCTTCTGTTTCCAATACCAGTCATGCTCGGTGTCTCAAATAAATCATAGTTTGGGCTTATTAAGTAGGACTTCTGAGCAATTCCAAGACAAATACCTCCACTCTTAACTTGGTTCTTTTGGGTTTTTTTGGTCTTTTTTGTTCTTGCAATTTATGTTTTACTTTTGGTTTTGTACGTTTATTTCCCCAACAGCTCCCATTGCTGCTTATAACACAGTAAGTTACAACACTACCCATTGTATCAGCGAGGTGTATTAGTAAAGCGATTAAAGTGACTAACAAAATCAAATAACGTTAGGAAAAAAGAGAGTTTTTTTTTTTTTTTTTTAAAAAGACCACAAATGGTCAAAGCACCCCTTCCTCCCCACTTCTGAAAGAATATGAAATAAGCTCCTGCCTTAAAGTACAGAAAATTGAAGGTTACTAAATAACTGGTCTTCAGGTTTCCAAAACGTATTCACTGAGGATCACTCAGTAGATGAGAAATCATTGTACGAAGTACAGAGGAAAATCTATAACACTTGTAATGAGAGACTGACAACTTTCAAAATACGATAGCTGCTTAGAGAAAGAGTTTTGGAAGTCTCTTACTCAAAAAAAAAAAATTTCACTTAATTTTTAGAGCCAAAAAACCCCACGTAACTTTGAAAACAGAACTCAATTAAATTGCATGCTGCATGTTTAACTTTAATTGCAATAGGATATTTTAATATTCACTGTTTAGAAGCTGCACCTGCATTTGCATTGGAAGAACTAAGCTGCAAATTTATTGGAATTCATTAGCAAGAGAGATTCTTTCAGTCACTGGAAATTGGACTCAATCTGAGGTAAATATTTTATACTCCCTGTTGAATTATTCTAAAAAAAGGAAAGCTATGTAAGCCCACACTCTGAAAAATTCAATAGCACTAAACTGTTGTGCACATAACTCAGAATTCTAAGTAGTTCTTAAATGTGTGAAGATTTGCTGACGAAGCGTCTTCTACAATCGCTACAGAGCGGGCTGCATGAGATATTTGGTTCTTTTTGACACAAACACCTTCACGATTTTTTCTCTCAACAGCGTACAAACAACAGCTAAAACTAACAACGACTTGCCATGGCAAGTATCATAGTTCAAAAACTGACATCAAAAACATTCCTATCAGGCACACACTGTATTTTTGCAAAAGGACCCTATTTAAATATAATGCAAATATTAAGATTAAAAAAAAAAAATCAAGTTCTGTGACACTAAACCTAACAAAGTTTAGATTTCGACAAATTTGTGTTTCATGATTGCTTGAATGAAATATCTTAGTGTACTGTTCTATGATATTTCAGTCAATCGATTTCAGATCTATTACAGTTCTAATCTCCTCCTACCTCTGGCCAAGGTTCAGAGAGCTAAGCCAACCAAAAACTCACCTATAAAAAAAAGTGATCAGGTTTTTAATCAGCTTATCTCCCTGAACTGACTCACAAGTCTGACAGCAGGTGAACCAATGCCACCAGGTAAAGGGTAGGACCATGGCAGTTCTGATTTGTTCATCTTAACCTGCTGCAGGAAAACAGTCCAAAGAAGCACAAGCTCCCATTGTAACTTTTCTTCAACACAGTATTTATCTTTTCTATGAAGAGTTCTCGGCCATTGCTTAAATGAGTAGTCAGAACGAAGCCTTTCCTGGGACACTGATAGGTTTTCCTTCCGCTACTGTCTGCCTATTTTCAAGAAAATTGTAGGAATTTACTCATCTTAGAACTCTCCACCATGCTGGCAAATTTGGTTGAAATAGGCCGTTGTTATCACATAAGCCTTGCTTTCATTTTAAGCTTGAAATTGAGTAAAGAACAGAACTTTCATTACAGTTCAACAATAAGATAAAAAGTTTTGAAGTATCACTAATGAATTACAGCTCAAGCAAAATTATCTGCACTGACTGAAAAGGCTATTACTGCTAAACACAAAAAACACTTACCGAAAGCAGCTTCCACGCAATTGGACGAACTTGTTTGGGAATTCCAGACCAACTCAGCTTCCGTAATTCTTCTATTAAAAGAAAAGTATATCACGAGAAAGAAGAAAAATATTACCAAATAACATTTACAGCAGTTATCATACCTCGCTATAAGTCCAATGAAATCATAACTATACAGCATTTCTGAACAATTAGGAAGATACAGGATAAATGCTATCTATAGGGATAGCAATGAGGATAGGCACTGAGTGCAATAAGGCAGCTTTCGGCAGTATTTCCCAGTATTATTTTTAATATACATGCCTCATATTAATATGCAAGAGATACTCAGCCTTATCGTGTAATACACTTATACGGATCCTAATCAAAAATGCATTTAGCAGTTATGTAAACAGAATGATACTTCATGTGTCAACGCTGGAATTTAATCAATGTTATATTTTCGTTCTTCATGTTGTACTTGAAAGTCCTCTTGAAAGTAATCTCCTCTCAAATATCAAGTGTTTGAAAAAATTTGGGAGCCCTCAGTTCTGATCCCTATTTCCAGAGCTACTTGTTTTATATTCAACAGAGTTAGAGTAAGTACAGAATAGTTAGGGCAACAGAAATTAGCAGGTACGACTTATGGTAGCACTGCCATAATTGCATATTACTCAAATTCAAAAAGCTGAAGCATTAGCAGGATTAAGCCACAAGGTCAATTTGAATGACAAACAGTAAAACAAGAAATGAAAGTGCTGCAGCCCCCTCTTCAACAGTGTTACTCAGGCACAAAAGTAAACTCACTAACTTCAATGGGCTTGAAAGCTAGCCTATGTTTGGTAACATCATGCTCTTAAACTGGTAAAGTCTTTTAGTAAGATGATACATAAGTATTAAAATTCATGTCTGTCTTAGCTCCTCTCTTATAAAGTATGCGACTATCCATAATTACCGTCAGCTCCCCCATTCCATGCATCTCCAACAAGAGTATGTTTCCAGAAAACATTCACAAGAGAAAAAACACAGAAGCAGCAGCTATGTGACAGATAAACATAAATGAGCATATCCACTAAGCTGCTCAGAAAGAAAAGCAGATCTACAATAGCAAGCAAGTTAAGTATCATATTAGATGTGGAATATTATCATTAGCAAATTATTTCCACATAACATTTTCAACTATTTTTAAATCAGGAAGGAAAACATACTCAACTGAAATAGTGCAATATTTAATAAATATATTCAAAAAAATGACTCTTTTAAAAGTGTATTGATGCTAAATAATTAAAGTATACAAAAAGAATTCTTAATTGACAGTTAAAGCTTCCAGAGAAGCAGCAACTAAAGAAAAAAAATCCAGGCCCCTGGAACATGCAGTGTATTTTCTACTCTATACTCTAAAAATGAAGTTACCCGATATTAAGCTGAATTTTTACTTTAGTTGCGCACTACCAAAATGACACTAACAAAATCCATTTTGTCTTAAAATGCAATGAGAGCATCAATAAGAAGTAAAATACATCATTACAAAAAATTTCCATCTGGATGAATCCATACTTCCATCTCTTCACTTACAAAAATACAGAAAAAGGAAAATGAGCAGAAGGTAGAAATGAAGGACTACCATAGTCATAAGGTCATAAGTAGATGAGTGATTTTTAGGATGGTCATTTCAAACAAACTAGGACTATCCCAAACAGATATGAACTTAGCAACAAGTACTGAGTTAAGAAAAACATTACAGCACTAGATACACGTACGTACAAACGTACGTGTGAGCGTTCCATAAATTACGGTTTTCTCTCACGTTCGGCAGCAGGTTCAGCCAGGAGAACAGCAGCTGCACAGAGATCTCACTGAGAACAGCCAGGCCGTGTCATCACAACCCAAGTAACACAGTGACCAGACATTGCCTCAATATCCATCAGGCTCAAAATATAAGAAAAGCAGAGAAAAGGAACAGATACTGGGAAATAAGATTTTAAAAGTCCATCATATCAAAGCTCTGTTTCGCTAATGATGTTTTATCATCAATCAACACAGCAGATGTGGAAGACTCCAAGTCTTCAAAAACATCAAGGTCTTAACTGAGTTGTTTTAAGCAATCCACTTCATTAAGTCCATTCAAGCAATCCTATTCCTCGTGCCTGCATTTAACAGATGTGAGATTTAAACAAATAAAAAAAAAATTCATATGAAAGTGTCTATCACGAGTCCTGAAACCAGTCTGACAAAAAAGGGTTACTTTCTTATGATTCCAGTAAAACTGTCTTCAGTCAATACCCTTTTAAGTAATACTGTATTTGAAAAAATAAGTTTCATTAATAGTCAAGGATCAACACAGATCCTTGAAAATTAGAAAGAAAAATCTCTTAACTTGTTTTTTGATTCAAAATCACAGTTTGTTCTGTAGTTTTGCTTTTAAATCAACTAATTTATATCTTTCCTTTAAAAGAAGAAAAACAAGGAGGTCAAGGTCAGATCTTGTTAAAGCAAGAGCATGTAAATAAATCAAGGTTATTTACTATCAGTACAAATTTAGACTTATAGGACTGTGTAAATATGCTAAAAATATAGAATATCTAATAATTTAGGAATGTCATATTGAGCATGATCAAAGATAAGTTCAGTCCTATACCCTGGGCATTCCAAAGATTCAAATACCAAATACTAAAGGGAAGAATAGAAGAATAGGTCAAGTATGAAGTGACTTATTTGATTCCCAGTCACCTAAAATTTAAAGATTCCTCAGCCACAGAATAGTATGTGCACTACTGCATTTAATGGTCACTAAGAGACCTATCTTTCCTGAACTTGCTTAATCATGTTTGAACCCATTCACACTTGTGACATTCACAACATCCCATGGCAAAGAACTCCACAACTTTATTACGCATTAAGCAAAAATCCTTCCTTTGGGGTCGGACTGACATGGAAGCCTGACTTATTTCCCATTATTATTCACTGCAAGAAATCCCTTTTCACATTTTTCATACCATTCATGATTTTATACATCTCTTATTTCTCTTCTCAGTTATCTCCTCTCCAAGCTAAAGAGCATTAATCTACTTAATGGCGTTTTACAACCACTGCATATTTCTGGTGATTTTTGGTTAAATTCTCATAACTTTCCTAGAGCTACTATAAAATTTGCATTTACATCCAAAGATCTTCAAGAATTTTAGAAACTATGCATAGGTATAGGTCTGTTAGAACATTATGTACAGAAAAACTAACTGGGTTCTCTAGAAATACTGTACAAAAGTGCAGGACTTTCCTTTCCTAATGAACTCCTAGACTTAAAGGAGTCAACAATTCCTATATGAAACTCTAAGATGATCAAAATATAAAAATTATGCTTTCAAGTTGGGAATTCTTAGGTCAAATGTACATCTGACATCAAATAAACATAAGCTAAAAAAGATGAATGCCAAAGATTGCCATTCAACTCTTTGCAAGTGCAAAACAGTGAATTAACATTGCTTTCAAACAATATATATCAGTGACCAGTTACCAGGTATTACACTGGACACTGAAAACAAGCTAGAAACAAAACTTCTAAGGCATATAAAATACTGAATGATCAGGTGTTTACTGTATTTTCAATTTAAAAGTTGATGTAATAAAGCTCAGTTTTTCAGAAGATAGACTTATCAATGAAGTCTACTATTGCAAATGTTTCAAAAAATCCTTGCTTCAATACAAAACTCTCAATTTCAAGAATATACTATTAATCTTTGGGGAAAGTGTGTCATTAAAGAGTGTCCTTACTATCTTCACTTCAGCATGCCATTGGGCTCACAGTAATTATTTGATGATTAACCCTTATATTAAAAGTAGCAATTAAAGAGCCTTAATAAAGCCCACAATTTGTCATCAGTATGAACTTCCTTTCCCCCCCCGCCTCCCTTTACCATTTTCAAAACATTCAATATCCAAACAACTAGAGCATTTCCACAACTTCCCCTAAGTTCAGAACATAGCCTTGCTGCATTTTAAAAGGCATAGCTTCAAAACTCCTGGCATCTGTTGCAACAGTATCAGAAAAATTTCTTCAGGACTTTCGAAATCCATTTAGGCATAAATGCTTTCTCCACCTATGCTCCACTGTTATGGGGCTTCTCCACCACACACTTGGGACTTCTGTATGGCTCCCACCAGATGGTGAGGGCACAGCTGAAATTAGGCCATCCAGGCGAGGCTAGAGTAGCAATTGCATTGCTGTGGGACAGCACAAGGGTCAGAACTCCAAGTGCATCCCCTCAAGCCTTCCTTGGGGTTCACCTGCCTGGGCTCAGGGTCAAAATTGAGACAGTGCAGCTGGTAGCCTTGAACAGCGCTGCTGTGAAGACAGCTAAGAGGCCTCCATGAGGGCTGCCCTACCTTCCTGTGGGAGCCGTTTTTAGGTTGAGGCTCTCACCTTGGCTCCTGCCTCCTATATTGCAGCTGCGTGCCTGGCCCTGAACCCTACTGATCCACAACCATACCATGAACTTTTCATGCTTGACTTTTCAGCTTGATTTTGAGCCTGTCTTGTCCCAGACTTGCCTGGGGATCTGGACTCTTGCTTAAATCTGGTCACTGCTCTGCTCACCTTGCTCGGGTACCCTGTGATAGTTCCCTTGTTAGCAAGGCCACTGACCCTGCCTGCCTTGTTCACAGGCTCCAGCTCGGCTCACTTCCCCTAAGGGAGAAGTCTGCCCTTGCTGCTCCTTGGCAGCAGGAACATCAAGATAGAAATTCCGATTTCTATGCCTCAAGAATGATCACAGTGAATTACTAAAACACAGAGCTATAACAAGTTTTGAACCATAAAAACTGTTTCAGGCTGCCTGTAAACTTCAGAAAGCAACATGAAAATTCCAGTTCAGGTCATTACCACCTCCATTGTATATCTTAAGTACAGCTTTTCTTCTCTTTCCCCATATCTTGAGTTACCATCCTACTTCTTATATTGCTCTATACCTGTATGCTAAAGAACCTCCTGAAAAGTCCAGCCTTAATTTGGCAAATCTCATTTTATCCCTACTAACCTTCAAGATATAGCTCGCTTTGTTTAACAGTTCTTGTTGCACCTCCTCTTTGTTGGCTT